GAGGCCAGAATGCCTGAACAGACCAGAAGGAGTACTGGGGAGGAGCAGACCTCAAAGGCAGCAAACCTGCGGCGAGGTTGGAAGAGCTGCCTGCAGCGGGAAAGCTGCCAGCGGAGGCGACGGCTGGCGAGGCAAGGCTAAGATGACAGCCTATTCCGGGAGAAGCTTTCTGGCTTTGCTGGAGTATTGGATGTTAAGGTCTGATCCTGCATCCATCCAAGTGCAAAAGAGTTTATGCACTGACTTTAGAGGCATCTCTGAACACTCTGATGCCTTTTTTTTCCCCATCTTAAGTATCTCACGTAGAGTACTGTATTCCCTTGACCTGTCTCCCGGGCAGGTCATCTGCCATTCCTCTAATTGCAGCAGGAGTTACTTTCCTGGAGCTAAAATGGCTGTTACCTTTTCCCGATCACAAAGGGACAGTAGAAGAGACCTGGCTGCAAAAGTCCTTGCCAGGAAAAAGAGGCTTTTATTGCATTCTCGGGCTGAAGGAACATTTTCGGATAGATGCGAGAGTGAAATCAGACACTGGCTGCGTGAGTCATGGCTCGGACGTGCTCTCTATTCCGAGGGGACAGCTGGTGGCACTAACAAAACATCTCCCTAGATACGTTGTCTGGCAGCAATCCCCCTCCTGCTTTTTCCAGCTGTAACTACCGTTACGTGATAAATAAATAAACACTCTGACAGTGATGTGCAGAGGCAGCCTTCCTTCCCTCAGCCCCTGTAGGCTCTCACCTGCCCCTCTCCTCCTGCTGCCCGACCGCGATGCCAAGATTTAAAAGAAGGGGCAGGAAACACGCGTGTCGGCCGTGGCAGCGTCCCACGGGCTTGACCTGGACGGTGCCCACGTCCCTCGGTGCGGGGTGGTAGCTCCCCGTGAAAGGTGCTACGCCGGAGCTGAAACGAGCCGTGGTGCAGGCAGAGATAAGCGATGCTCTCGCCTCCTTGCCTGCCTTATCTTCCCAGCTAAAGCCCTCGCACCGCCGTTACCGCGCTGCCGGAGAGCCGGGAAGGAGTCCGTTTTGTTGGCAGACGCTGCTGGCTGTCCGATTAACTCAAAGCCCGACTGGAAGTTAATGACAGCTCCAAGCAGCACAACCTCCTTCCTGCTGGGCTCCTGCCGCAGTTTCAGTGGGAGCAGTTCAAGGAGAGGGCTGGCCCCAGCCATGCAGGTGCTCAGAGCCCCAGGAATTTCCATTCTGCACCACCCCGTGCTGACGAAGGGCGGCAGGGGGAGCTGCTGAACCGTATATCAGCGCTCTGAAGTTAGGATGCACACAGCAGCAAATCCTCTCTAGCATCTGACTATATTTTTAACATGGCTCCAGACTCCGGCAAATCAATTAAAGTTCCTTGCTGCTGAAGCCGGGGTGTTTTCTGGAACAGCTGGTAAATTATTGAATGGGACAAGGCTTAGGAAAGGAGGATGGACTGGAAGGCAGCAAGATTTTGTTTATACAGGAGTGTTGTGTATCCAGCAGCCAGGGGATGTGCCCTTTGGGCTAAGATCAAGTGTAATGATCAGTTTAATATCAAATACGTCTTTCTGGAAAGACTGGCTGAAGTTTGAGGGGAGGGATCATCATTAGACATGGTGATCTGAGAGGTACCCTTCTCTCTAAATGCCACGACCCCATGAAAGCTCTCACGAATGCACGGCCTTTGTCTGAGTCACTGCTTGAATCACGTAGACCGCGACACGTCCCGCCGTGGGTTATAAATGTTCCTGACGCTGGGTGGGACGGGGTATCCATTCCATAAGCTAACTTAGGGAGGGCTGGACAAACACCTTGCGTGCCTGCTGAGGTGATCCAGCCTGCCTGCCGCCCGGTTAATGCTGGCATTGGCAAAACTTCCCCGGGCTCCTCTGGATCCGCTGGGAAAAAGGGCCCTTCAGGAAGGTGGTGTACGGCGGGGAGGAGAGCCCCGAGCTCAAGAGACCTCACGTGAAATCCCCTTTCTCACTTGGAAGCAAAATTTCACTGATTTTAGCAAGCCAGGTTCCTACCTGTGCTTTGGGTTTCTACCACCTCTCTGTCTGGGGTTTTTTCCTCTTCCCTTTGGTCTGTTTGTGGCACAGGCTGGATCTAGACAAGGACTGTGACCGGGAGCACAAGCCTCGTTACGCGGCACCGATGGGAAACCAGGGCCCCTCTAGATCCCTGAGGACAGAGGCAGATTTTGGTCTGCACTGCACAGAATAGCTAAGAAATTCTCTAGATGGCTGACTTTAAAATGTCATTAAAGTTATTTTTATGCAGGGGGTTTTAGTGTATCCGTTTAAATACCAAATACACAAAATCATGCTTTAATTATTAATACAAGAGGGTGCTTTGCTGAATTTAACTTTGTCAAATGATTTCAAGCTATTATGTGTATTACATGTAGGAGCATTTACTATTTTTCCTGCCTGCGAGAAAATACAAGTAGCAAAGAGAAGCTCTTGGTGCACTTATAGGTGGACTGGAAGGAAGAGGAACTGAAATGAAGATGAGACCAAGTCAGCTTATCACACCGGTTGGGAAAATGGGGAGGGCAAACATGAAAAGATTAAAAAAAAAAGTATTACTCTTAATTCCAAATTTTCCTTTACCTGTGGAAAAAATGGTAAGAAGGGGAAAGAGAATTAATTTATGAAAGTTGATCAAATATGCGTCCATATGTGGAATGTTAGTAAAACGTTGCAGGTTTGAACCAGATCTAGAGTGACTTACCAACTGAAATGTGATTTAAAGTTTAAATAATACTCTTCCCCTTTTCAAAAGCAGAGATCACTGTGAAGACTTGCTTTATCCCTCCTGGCTTCACTAGGTGGCCCTGCTCATCGCTATTCCTCCTGGCTTTGCCATGCTCATTAGGAAAGGACAGGCATAATGATGTTCGGGCGCCCTAAATCATCCCTAACTCCGATGAATTGAATACCCAGCCCAGATATTAGCTTCTTTTTAGGAAGAAATAATTTCTGTCTTCGTGTCCTTTGGCATGTGGCTTTCTGGAAGACGTAGATTGAGGCATCACTGTAAATACGCTCAGTGGTAACATACAATTATACAAAGCCCTGAAATATATAGGACTTTTCTTTCTTCTTTTTCCCCCCCCCCCCCTTTTTTTTTAAAGTAGCTTGTGATCTTTCTAGGGCTGCTTGCAGTGCTCATGCTTTATAGTCCTACTCCTGCTTACAGCCACATCCACTCAAGGGCCGGTTCTTGTGCAGCTTTTACCTGGGAGATTACAGCAACATGCTTGCAGCAGCAGTCCTGTACAAAGGTGCCCTGTGGCTAGAAGGGAGAAATAATGGATGGGATCAAAATGACAGAACAAGATATATGACCAAATTTTAAACAGGTACTACCAATTATTTCAACTGCTCTCAGCTCCTGGTATTTCTCTCCCTTGGCCCCAGCTTTCAGTCATGCTGAGCACCGAGCTCTGCCGTTTACAGGAGTTGGACCCGAGAACATTCAGCATCTCTCGAAATTAGGCTTGTCGTGACTGAGGAAGGACCCCAGACCCAAGAATTATCTCCCTTTCCTTGACGCTGTGGGTGAAGTATAATGCAGGAGCTTGTCACGGGGATGCATCCCCAAGAGAGCGTGTCTCCGCTGTGCGGGGGCTGAAAGAACCTCTGCGACCCTTAGGCTTGAAACCCGCACAGCCCGTTTACTCCCAACACGCACCCGGGAACGAGTCTGGCTGCCGATCCCCTTCCCTTTGGAGCCAGAGCACAAGCCAGGGACTCCAGACAGGATCCCCTGAGCTTTTGCAAACTTAGTGCCAAACCAGTAAACCAAAAATAACTTGGATTTATTTATTCTCCAAACAAAAGTGGCTTAGTTTTATTAAAAGCAAATACAATTTATTTTACATCCCAGCTAAGCCCTCCTACCCCCACCCTTTGCAAGTATGCCCACGCACTTTAATCTACGGTCAGCTGCCAGGAAGAAGATCCACCTACCACTTTTCTTCACACACATTGCTTCTATCAATTAAAAAATCATAGTGAATATTCTCTGCTGACAGCAACATCTAAGGTTCGGATTTACCAAAGGCAAGGACGAGACTAAAGGATGGACAAGGGCTAGTCCGTCCGCCTTTTGTGTCTGATTCTGTCATGGCTTGGTCCCATTTCTCTAGAACTACTTGTGTTTTAACCTTTCCTGATTAATAGTATTCAGGAGTGGAAAGACTCTGGGATGAAATACCTGTACTTCACCTGACAGAGCTGGCATGGGTCCTTTTGCCAATCTTGTAATTACAACCTTAAAGGCAGTGTGAACAAGTTTTTAAATTTTACAAAGGCCCTTGTGTTTCTGTGCTTAAAACCCCCCAAGCATTTAAAGTATTTTTTTCAAGGCACTGATGTTAGTTTTTCTTTACTGATGAAAAATAGCACACAGAGGTAGAAGAGAGAAAATTCCTCTTGGGAGAAGCATTTGCATTCTAATCATTGCTGCTTTATCTTGGAGCGTGAAACTCAAGAAGTGTGATACTCCACAAATAGAAGTCAAAGTGCCCAGTCTCCTCTCACTAGCAGAACAAGACGGATTACTGCTTGCTCAGTAGCTGACAGATAAAAAGTTAATGGTATCAAGCACAAACCAGGTGATACGTGAAAATGAAGCAACAGCACAAATAGCAAAAAATCAAGTAAGTTCGTTCTTAAAAATTGGTGTACATGAGTGAAGGGCATTTTTGTTTGGTCCCAGAAGAGAAGATGGGATTTACCACGTGTGTGAACAAGTTCTGCTCTCTGGGGGAATGGTAGCAGTTTCGAGGGGTGTCCAGGATTGATACTCTGAATTATGCTGTTCTCTTGAGATCCTAATTTGGCTAATGGAATTTGACCTGATTGATAGCATTAAGGTCACCATACAGCTCGAGCCCCAACACGACAGTGCTGGAGAAAACAGTTCCCAGGGTGCACGGTTACTTTAAAAGAACGCACGGGTGCATGGTGCAAACCTTTCTTTTACACAACCATGAGGAAGGTGGGAGGAGGAGGCATGTTCTCACGCCTGTCCCAGGGTGAATCCCCCAAATTATTACATCTTGGTTCACATCAGCATAGTTTAACTTCACAAAATGCCTTCATTTCTGTCCTGCTTTTATCTTTCCCGGTTTTTGCTCGGGGTTGTCCTTCCAGATGCGGATGGTGAGGCAGGTCGCCATGGCCAGCCAGCCCAGGTAGGGCACCATCAACAGTGCTGCCAGCTTGTTGATGCGGTACCAGGAGCACACCGTGCCCATCGCCAGCGCGTCCAAGCACAGGATGTCGATCAGTGCCTGGAGCAGAGAGAAGACAACGAATGGCTCCGGTGCTCACTCTTGGGAACACGCAGCCCCTTCCCTGGCGTGACTGTAAACCGTCCTGCTGGAGGTGGAGAGATGGAATAGGAACGGGGAGGTTTAGCACTCAAAAGTCACCGAGAGTGATCCTAAACCCCGGGACCTTGGCTCTGAACTCTAACCAGCGAGATCTGAAGGTATCATACCAGGAGCCAAGACAAATGTTAATTTTTCTTGTTCGTTACCGAGTTCCGCAGACTAATGCACTGTTTGTGGCCATCAGTGCCCCCTTCTGCTGACAGTGCCTACGCAGACAGATCAGAAACATGTTTATGTTAGTGCCGATGGCTTTTATTGCTTAACAAACCGCCTAAATGTACCTTTCTTCCACAGAGTGACAAAATTCGGATGGAAGCATAAGTCCCACTCTGCACCTCCGTCACCTCCGGGCCTTGGCACCTCAGGTAAGTGCTTTTGAATATATCACAAGTCCACCTCTGCCGTGTCTTGCCTTCAGGCGTATCCTCTATCAGGCTCTACAGTGCACTGTGTTCGCTCAATAAGCCACTGACGGCCCCCCCCGGGATGCTGACTTTGCTGCTGGCCGCGCAGGGTGTGACTCCCAGAAGGACTTATCTCTAAGCCCGAATCCTTAACTAGGAGATGCAGCAGCTGGACCACTGCGTCCCTGATCTCCCGCCCTGCTCTGGTCGGGCCGGCTATCGGCACGGCACGAGCAGCGTGAGGGGTGGAAGGGACTGATACCATTGTCTAGAACCAGATGCAGCGTGAGCTATATCTGAGCAAAAGCTCTTCCTGCAGCTCTCTTTGCAATTGCATAATGCTGGTTAGAAAACCTCCAAACGACCCAAAACCCGTGTGGCAGGGACACCGGCAAAGAAGCCTCCAGCAGATGAATGGACGGCCGGATACGTTACCATCTTCAGGTTACGTGCCCCGAAGAAGAAGGGGGGCCAAGCCCAGTTCAAGGCCAGCTGAGCCCCGTAGAGGCCAAGCGGGACGATAGCTCTGCTGCTGCACCCACCCAGGTCGTTCCATATCAGGTAGGAGGCATAGCTGTGAAGAGGGGATCACGTTAGTGTTTTGCCGTGAGTAAATCCCCAATACAGACAAAAGTCCTTTCACGTAAGGTTGTTTCACAACAGGGCCTTGCAGGACAGTCGTATTTGCAGGACAGCTGCCTCCGTGTCCCCCAAACCCATCGCCTGTCTCATACCTGCGTGGCCCGAACAGCCTCCCCAGGGCAGCGGCTGGTTTTAGTGTCTGTGTACAAAGCTGGGCGCGGGCTGTGCCCCTGGCCAAAAGCATGGCCTGCAGCCTGAATCTGAGGAACTCAGCCCAGAATTTGGCTCAGGCTGTGCTTCACCTGCTGGGAGTAAGTGCACTACTGGGAGTAAGTGTACCTGGCATGCCCTGCTGATTCGGGTACAAGGGATATCCCAAAAGGATCTCAGAAACGGCAGGACGAGAGAGGGAGCGGCACGCAGAACTTACCCCATGCTGGTGTACAGGACAGTCCAAGCGACAGGGAATATTTTGCGCGATGGACACCATGAAGGTTTTTTCAGCTTCTCGTACCAAACAGGTATTTCTTTTCGATTAATGAACCAGCCAAGGAAACCTCCAACGTGAGGCAGGACAGTAAAACCAGCAGTATAAGCCCACATCCTTCCTTGGTGGCTTGAAGTAGCCTTTTGCCCGCTGCAAGTTAAAAACAATAATTGATGATCACTTTAAAAGGACTTTTTTCCTACTTTGATCTTTCAAGTTTTTTCTCTAATTTCCCATATTCCACTTTAGTCCCTAAGGCAGAAGGCAAGTATTTAATATTGCATGCAGCTCTGCGGCTGGCTCCCCTCTGCCCATCTCCCGATCTCTGGAACAGGGGTAATTATTTCTGTCGTGGTTACATTTTCCCCCTTGATCTACCCAGCAAAGTGGTTCCCCCCTGCTATTTCACGGCTTCTTACGCACTCGCATGGCAGGGTTCAGCTAAGGTGGTTATGTTCTTAGAAGACAAGACTGCAGTTGCTTTTATCATCCCTCTTCCGAATGCCTAAGTCAGACAGCACACAAAGTTTAATGTACGTTCACGGAGGCTACGCATCTCAGCAGAGCTGTTATCTCTCCTCTGCATGCTATTCTGAATATGAAAACCCAGACAGATCGTGCCCAGAAAACCCTGTCCGTTCTGACTTCATCTAATGTTTCACCATGGATTTGTATTGTAAATGAGGTCTATAGCAAGACAACATCCTTACAGCAAATTTTAAGTGTTAATGCAAACATTAACCTTGTCTAATGCCCCTGCAGCCCTAGCAGGCGGGGGTGGATTCTCACCTCTGTAAGCTGAGGCACAAGAGTAGTTTCTTAATTTGCTCACGGTCTTCCTCTTGCACAAAAGGAAGGAACATTTACTCTAATAATGACATTATGCTCCCACACAAAGCAGCTGTGATAAGGGTAACATCTAACATTTCATTCTCTGTCCCATATCTTCTCCAGGGCTCTGAACCTGCCAGTCTTCTGTCCTCCTTCCTGCGGTCTCTATATTCACCTTCGCTTTTGATCCATTGAGGAATTAAACCCAAGTTAGCGTTCATCGTGGATAGCGCCCAGGATTCGCCGGGAGCACAGCAGTTTGGTGCTATCAGCATAAACACAAAATGCGCCCGGGAAAGATTGGTTTTAGCAATGCGAGAAGAGAGAAGCAGGCACAGAAAACTCCCTCGCCCGGGGAAATGTCCCTGGCACCCTGAGCACTGGTCAGAGAAACAAGGAGCACGAGGAGAGGATCCATCTGCACAGGCATCTCAGTTTGGGATTTTAATTCACAATTAATACTTTGTGATAGCCTATGCTAATTATTATTATCAGCACGCTACAAAGCATTCATTTTCAGAAACGCACGCCAGCAGTACAAGCCAATTTACGCGTCAATAAGGAACAAATACCCCCGACACCATCTCTAACTAACAATTCCTTTACCGGGCAATTTATAGTGCTATTAAAGTGTCTATGGAACTAGAAAATCAACCAAACACTGAGAAAAATAATAGCTGTTAGTCCTGCATTTAAAGTGTAAAACAGCACCAGCTGAGTTCTGGGTCCTCCGTAGTACTTCAGCAAGTAAAAATGGGGAAAAGTAGATTTTTCCCTCCTCCCAACTCTTTCGTAGTTGCCAGATGAACCTGATAGACTGCAGAAGTAACTGAGGGTTGAAAATAACCCAACACTGTTATAAAACCTTACTTTGTCTCACAACTGTTATAACTTAATGGGGTAGGAGCTGTAAAAAACCTTACCGTCTCTTACTGCCTTTCTGTCCCTCGCAAAGAAAAAGGGTTGGGCGTCCAAGGCCAGCTTCTGTCTCTGGTGCTGCTGTACAACGACGAAACCGTCGGCTGAGTTTTACCTAAATAGCAGAAAAAAGGGTGTGTGTGCGCGCGCCAGCGGCTGTATCAGATTACACGAGAGAGCCCACGTTCGGCCCGAATTACTGGGGGTTTGGTGGCGGTTGAGCAACGGTGCGGGTGCGGGACTGGCTTCTAGGTCCGGGCACCACCGAGATGCGACCTCCGAGGCTCTTGGCTTGGTTTGAGGACAAGCGTCTCGCCTCTAGGTCAGGAGCTGGCTGCACGGGACGGAGAAGCACCTTTTTACAGGTCTGGGAGTGCTCTGGGCAGGCGAAAGTAGAAATTAAAGCGTGCCACGTACGAATGGACATGGTAATAGTGTGAGAGCTTGTGCATAAGGGGTCAGGCCCATAGCAGCGGGGTTTCCGTGCGCGTTACCCGGGTGCAAGCTCTGCTCATTTACTCCACCTGAGGATGTGTCCCAGAGCGGGACAGAAGGAGCCTGCTGCACGGACGAGGATGCTCCTGCCTTGCCGCTCCCCCGCGCGGTCTGACACCACAGCGATTAACCACATGCTTTCGGTGCTCGCCCGTACGCTAGCCTTTTGGCTAAAATTCACCGGAAGCCACTTGAATCTAAAATAAAGACATTACACAAGCATGTTAAATGAAAAAGAAAAAAGCTAGAAATCAATTTCCATTGGTAAGCTGTCTGCAAGGGATGGGAAATTAAACACTAATTTACTTCAGTTATGGGTCATTACCTGAGTTTCTCGGCCAGAGGCAGAATTGCTGGTTCCTAGCAGAATGTGATATTACTGTTATAACATAGAACCAGTGAGATCTTCTGTTTTATTGAAAGGAAATTATTTTTTGTGGGAGGAGAAAGAAAGAAAAAAAAAAAAAGCCAGTGTAAAGGGACAGATTTTCAGCTAGCATAAATCAAGGCACTGCTATTGCAGTGGTGTGTTTATATAGTGTAATTGCCACTCTGAAATAACAGATGCGGCACACATTAATCAAGCGGTAGCCACCTGCATACCCTTTCCGAGGCTGTTGCTATTTGCGATTGGAAACTTCTGGCGTGCAGCGATGCAGCTACTATATGTGACTGGATGGTTTCCGTCGCAGTCAGGCACTTCGCTGAGGCCGTCGTCACGCAGATTGCTGGGAAGCGTTGCCTTCATCGGGCTTTGGCAGCTTGGTCAGAAAGCAAGAAATTCAACGGGTTTTAACTGGTAGAATTTCCTTCCCTGGGCTTGAGCACGACACTGTGATTACTGGTTTGCTTGGCATATAGCAGTTGTATTCCCAGGCTATTTTGCAATCTAATACGCTGGAAGAATTAAAAACTAAGGGTCAAATCACAAGGATCTTGTTAGATCTGTGAAGCTGGGGATGCTGCTGCATGACTGGGGAATAGTAAATGCAAAGAGGAAAAAAATAGCAGAGGCAATTACAGGCTTAAAAGTCCTACTCGACCTTTAGAGCAAAGAAGGGAGAAGCAAAGACGTGGAGGTACATGGAAAAATGGGGTAATATCCAACAGATTTGCCCAAAGTGGATCACAGCAGGCTGGATGCCATTGCCTGTGCAGACGTTCGTTCCCTAAGCGAGAACCACAGAATCACCGAGGTTGGAAAAGACCTTTAAGACCATCAAGTCCAACCATCACCCCAACACCCCCGTGCCCACTCAGCCATGTCCCAAGTGCCACGTCTGCACGTTTTTTGCACACCTCCAGTGACGGTGACTCCACCACCTCCCTGGGCAGCCCGTGCCAATGCCTGACCACTCTCTCCGTTAAAGACATTTTTCCTAATATCCAATCTAAACCTCCCCTGGCGCAACTTGGTACTCGCTCGTCTGGACTTCTGAACAGCATCTGTGACGGAATTTATCAGGGAACGGGGAAGCTGAAGGCGCTGGCAGATGGCAGGAGGGCTGCTGGGCAGCTACGCAGAAGAGACAGCGAGAGGGAGCGCAGAAAGACGGGGATCGGGTTTGGGAAGTCTCTTTGGTGCCACTGGGACCACTACTGGGACCTGGAGTGATTTTAAATACAGCGTGTGCACGGACACACCGGCACAAGCGTGTGTGCACGCCCAGGGCCCCCTCTGTACGTCAGCCCGTGCTGCGGGAGCGAGCAGTCCTGCAACAAACCGGGAAGACAAAAAAACCAGCACAATATCGTTTTTCCTCTGTTACCGCAGATTTATGGCTCAATATTTCTGGTCTGAATCATTTTACCGTAATACAAGATAAGGTAATACTACCTCTTAGTAAAATCACTTCTATACCATGTCTTGGTATGCTTCTGATGATTAAAGTGATATTACTGCTGGGTTTCAGATCGCTGCTGTATCCCTGCAATGTGTTTTCATGAAAGAAAAAGACACGGGAAAACTGAGTTACACAACTGTGTTTGTTTTCCTCTTCTTAGCAACCTTTGCACGTTGTCCCAAGAGGTTCTCAGTCTGTGCAAGATTAATTGCCCAAATATAAAAGCCCTGTTAACCTGAATATATTATTGAAAAACAGCATATTTCAATCTGTCCCAGTTTTGAAAATAGAGATGCCGGGTCAGCTCCTGGCATAAATCTGCAGTGCTCCTCGGAAGCCAGCGGAGCTTCTCTGATTTACATCGACAATAAAGTCGTCCGGGTTTGTTTGCCACCGATGAGAGCGTCAGCGCGCTTGCCGAGCTGCCGCAAAGGACACGGCGGTGGCCGGGGAGGAACCTTCGTGGCAATCACTGTCTTCTGAGCAACTCAAACCTGCCAGCCTTGACATTGCGGAATAAAACATTTAATTTTTCAGTATGAAAAGTCATTTAAAAAAAAATCCCCTAGTTTTATTTCTATCGAATAAAAGCTTGTTTTAAAAAATTTTCAGTTACGTTGAAATAAAAATTCCAGATAATATGAAATTATATAGGAATTTCCAGCTGGTCAATTAATTGTTTTTTTTTTCCTCCGCGGGCTGAGGTGGCCCTGGGCCAGCCAGTGCAAGAGCTCACAGCCCCTCAAAACGGCTGCGGATCGCTCCGTGGGCTGAACCTCACAGCTTGAGCTTCCACCCTCTCTCCGCTAGAGGGAATTTAAAACCAGATCTTTCTTCGGATTAAAGTCCAGTTTTCAGGGTGTTAACGCTGTGTTTGGATGCACAGGAACACTGACCCTCCGTAAGGCACAAGGTCCTTCCTCGGCGCTGGTTATATCTAGTAGAGCTGATGACAGGACCAAACTCTGGTGCGAGATGAACAGCAGAAAAGGCTCCTTGATTTTTTTAGGGCTCGGTCTTTGATTTCTGTCTGGCGTGGGGAGGACCAGGCGTGCCCCGG